CTGGAATTTCCTGTGGGGGGTTTTTTTTTTTTTTTTTTTTTTTTTTAGCATCAAATTGAAGTGATAGAGCTTGTACTTAGAAAGCTCCAGCACAGATTTTTTACACTTTTAAGAGCATCGGTAAAAGAATTGAAGGAATCCTGGATTAATAACAAAAATTTCTGATCCTCAGCCTCAAATTTAATCAAAAAAAATCTTGCTATTGTGGCTTAACAATGATTTATTTTCTAATGCTAAAACTCCATACTGATTTATTTGCTAGACCACTCTAGTTCAATTTTTAAGTCTTTACCAATCCTAAGAGCATGCTTGTCTATCTCCCTTTTTAGATAAATTCTGTCCAACAATTAGTGGCACAGTGGAAAAACAGACTGCTTGAGCTAAAAACTTTAAATGCATCAACAAGAACAGCACTGGTAAGTGTTACTGAAAAGTAAAATGTTTCTGATGTAATTTTTTCCTTAATCTTGGAAGAATGTGTCCCTTCATTTCATATTTTATTGCAAATTCCAATGTTAGTTTCTTTTTCTAAAAGAGTTAATGAAATGATTTGTAAGACATGATAGTTGTCATGTGCCACTTTGTTCTTAGTGTGGAGGTCTTGTAAAGTTGCACGGGCACTTCAGGCACTGCTGAAGACTTTAGCTACACTTTACTAACTTTATAAAAATAAATGATCAGTATTGCTTTGAAGATCTCAGGATATTCATTTTTAGCAACCAACTATACACAATACTTTTAGGGCCTCCTTTTTTTGCATCTAACTAGCTGAGACCTGAAAATGTTTGATTCCTAGATACAGTAGCAATTTTAATGGGAGATGTTCTGAAGCTCTTATGAAAATCTCTACTGTGATGTGTTTTCTACTGGCACTATTGCCATAAGAACAGTGGGCCTGGCTGCCAGCATGAAGAATACTTGCTACTAATCTTAAAACACATCTGGGAACATTATCGAAATTCAAAAGGATGGAAGAATTAATTACATAAGAGTGATGTCTGTGGTTTGAAAACTATCCCATCTCTACTTCTGTGTAGTTTTTAGGTGATACATTTTTGTAGTGTGACTGAATACTTCAGCAGTACCTGAGTCAGACTCAGTCTTTGTCTGTAATGAAAAAAAATCCGCGTACTGCAGGCAAATTGTGTTATAAAGCCCTCTTAGTTAACTGAGGAAGGTAGTGAGTCAGGATGGTTCCATGTTAGCAAGGCAGCAGCTGGGTCCCAGTGCAAGCCACAGAAAAGTAGAATAGCTTAAGGCTGAGACCTGGCTGTGTCCATGTATATTAAGATTAAGCACACAAATATTTTCTGAATCTAGATACTTCAGAAGGAGAATGCTCAAGAACAGTTAGAAGCATTATTAAATAAGCAGAGACACAGACTAAATTGATTTAAGTGAAGTCTGCACAAAGTTTAATTTGATCATGGGTATGTTCAGGGCTGAAGGAGAAAAAGTGGGATTTGCACAGAAGATGAGATGTGCTAACGTGAGAGAAAAGAAGAAACCAAATTAATGACATAAGCAGTCATAAATATAGATTAAAATAGTTAAGAGGTAAGAAAAAGAGTTTTAAGAGTTATTCGGGTACAAATGAAAATATTTTTATTTCAAGTATTTATTGAAAGGCACTTCACTAAGGCACTAAAGTTTTAGAACCTTGGTTTTCATTTATGTATTTGGATCAGTTTTCAATTATATGTTGGATTTTTTTTTAAGCTATCTGATTTGAAGAATGCGGTCAGTCAACCACTGCCTTCGTTTGGATTTGGAGGACAGCAAACATCAAACTTTGGGTTGTCGAGTAAGTTTTTTGCATTGAGAAACAAGTTAAATGTTGTTTCTGAGGTCTTTTTTTTCCTTCATGGCTTCCTATTGCAGGTGTGCCCTTTCTAAAAGGTTTTCTAACTCTGTGCTTGTAGGCTTTCCTGTGAACAGCAGCAGTACCAGTGCTAGCAATTTCTCCTTCAAAACAAGTTCCAGTCTTGTCAGTGCCTCATCCGGGAGCACCCCTGCTTTTGGGAGCCGTGATCCTCCTGCGTTTGGGGGGGCGTCCTCCCCGAGTGCCGCCCGTTTTGTTGGGTTTGGGGCTCAGCCAGCTCCATCTGCAGCCAGTTTCTCATTTAAAACTTCGGAAACGATCAGCGGTTTGGGAACTTCCGGGTTTTCGGGGTTTGGCAATGCCCCTGCTGTGAACTCTGCCAGCAGCACCCCGCTTCCAGCCTTCGGAGCCGTTAACGCGGCAGGAGCCGCGTCCCCTTCGCGTCCGGGCGCTGCTTTATTCGGACAGGCCCCCAGCGCTCCTGCCCCCGGGGCTGCAGCAGCGCCGGCCCCGGGCGCCAGCAGCGGCACCTCCGAAAGGCTGTTCACACCAAAGGTGGAGCTGTCCGCTGAGGAGCTGAAACAATTCGAAGCAAAGAAGTTCACAATGGGAAAGATTCCGCTCAAGCCACCACCACTAGAACTTTTAAATGTTTAGGGTTTGTATATTTATTCTGAAAATAGCAAATTATTTTTTTACAATTGTTCTATGACATCTTAAGTACAACAATTTTAATGTTAAATAATAAAATGCTTCCTTGAGAGTTAAATTTTAATTTCCTCTCCAAGTTTTCTGTGGTAATAAATGCAGAGATATAAGTATTTCAACTTTGTATCTATTTCTTGTTTGTTTTGGAATAGACTGTTTAAATTCAAGAAACACACTATTGAAAATAAATTTTATAGTAAAAGTTCCCTTTTATACTCTGTGCTGTGAAGTTATGGGCAAAAAGAATCTTAAAAATCTTCTGTCCAAAGTAGGAATACTTTGGTGATGTATTCACAGCCTGCTGATCTCGAAAGAGGGGCAAACAAGGTAAAACTTGGGTTTTGGACTTGTCTCTTACAACGTGGTTTCGTGCACACTGTGTCAGTGGGCACAGTCCTGCGTGGTCTGTGCTTGGCCATGGGCTTCCGAGAGCCTGGCCTCAGTCACCTTCCTAGCTGCTACAGTGCAGCTTTGGTTTGCTCCGCTTGAGGCTGTGATGGATGCATGAGTATATATGTGCCCGTTTCAGGGGACGGTCTTACAAGTATTCCCCTAACACAAAACTCACAGTTTGCTGTTTTGACACCTGTTAGTTAAGTAGTTTTGCAGTTAATTGCTTATGAAGTTGTATTACACTTACATGAATTAGTACAGTCTTCTTGACTGGTTCTTCAGTCTGATGGCTGTGTATGATAGCAGCAGCTTTATTGAATTAATGCTATTAAGGTATAGAATTTGCCAAGATGCTGTAAGTAGCAATCAGAAATCTTCCAGAATGAGGTCCTGGGGTCAGTGTGACAAGAACATTTGCTCTTCACCAGATCTTTGCGTAGATGGTTTTAAGTTACTGACCCTCATATTTTAAGAGGAAAGCAAAAGCTCATTCCACAGAGTACGGAAACAGGTTCACTGCTCCTTTGAATAGCCCAAAATAACATTTCAGGTGTTGTTGGGGCCCTGTGGTCATACCTAAAACTGCCCTCCTGGCGTGCTTCCCAACAAAGTGATATCGCTGGTGTAACCTCTGCGGATGAATTTAACGTCCAGGAGGGCGTCTCGAGGTGCCGCGGAGCAGCGGGCAGGCAGGAGCGCGGGCGCTTGGAGCGCGGGGACGGCCTCCTGCAGCGCCGCGGCGCTCGTGGGGATGTTCTGGTGATGCTTTGGTAGATGAAGGCAGGCAGCTGGTTTTTGTTGGCCTTAACGAGCCCGTGCAGGCTTTGTATAACCCGCACAAGTACTGATCCAGAGGCCTGCAGTTCTCTTTCTTTAGGTCTTATGAAATGTGTTTTTCCAAGGGTGTACTCTGGTCACTTGTATAAATTAAGACATGTAAAACCTTAGGGCTCACTTAGCATTAAATTGTTTATGCCAAATACTCAGATTCTGACATGGTGAAACTGAGCCAAATGTGTTATGCCGCCATAGTTCTAAAAAACGCCCCCCTTCACAGCAGTTGTTAAAGTCCTTCTTAAAATCCTACTCTTTAAAGTAACAAAAAGTGTTTGTGGCTTGTCAAATTCCATAACTGTCTACCCATTCTTAAATTTATGAAGACTGAGTGATTCTCAGCCCTAACTGTGTCAGAAAGCTCTGAGTTAGCATTATAGCACGGCACGGTTATACTCTGGGGCAATCGTATAAATTTAAGTCCTTTTTAACCCTTTCAGATCCCATGGCACGTTTTAGAAGACAGAATGATTGACTTGTATTTTAAGAGAGCAGTAATTTGGACACCTGTGTGTTGAACTTAGCCTTTACCTGGAAATGTTCATCTTTTTAAAGGGCTCCTTTGGTAAGAAGACGACTGCTTTTAACGCTTACGCAGCAGTTGGCAGGTGCCATGTGGTAAGGGCTGCTGCTGCCCTTCAGCGCGGGGCTGCCCAAAACCTCTGCTGGCCCCTACGGTAGCGCGTCAGGCGGCTGCTGCTTAGCTGCACCAAGGCCTTCCACGGCCCTTCAGTGCTCGAGAGCTTTTTGGGGGAGAAATGCCTTTCCTTGTAGTAATTCTAGAACCCTGAAGTTCTGAACACCCGATGTAGCCAAACGATCGGCTACATCGTTTTAAGCTGCACCGAGCTAAGGGGGAAAGGCAACTTTGAAGTCTTAGGTCACTTTGCTGTAAGAAACATAAATGGAAGGGTTAAGAGAGTTAGTTTTGGTTTAGATGACAATAAATTTTAGAAGTTTCCTAAAGCTGTTTAAACAAATGCATCAGCTCTTCATCCCAAATGCCCTCCTGAGCATCTAGAGGATGGTAGCAAGCAGTACAAGGCTGGAATGGGTGATACGAGTTAGCCAGGAGCAGACAAGCTGGGTATTTGGCTGCAGAGAGGAGATAGGACTAGAACTGAAAGAAATAGTACTGCTATGGTGGGGTTACTAAACTGCAGAAATTGAGTAACCATTTATCAGTAGATCAAAGCAATCTTTTCCACCATTCACACTGTGTTACTTTCTCTGCTCTTCTTCCTGTTCTGCCTTTGCTATAGTTCATATTGAAGCCCATGCAAAGAAGGAGAAAGAATATCCTTGTTTTAGCTACAACCCTTTAATTTACTTACTGTTTCCTTTTTGAAAGGGCGTGGTTTTTTTTTTTTTTTTTGGTATATGGCTGCCCTCCAGGAAATCAAAAAGGAATGTTCTGACATATGAAAATACATATAGGAGAGCACGGGATGTCCTTTATTCCATCTCATTTTAGAACAGGAAACATGAGATGAAGAAGCCAGGGGAAGAGCTGTAACACGTCACAATTAGCATGAGAACTCAATGTGCAAAATAGACCAGAACAGTCAAGCTGCAGCCCAGCTCCATGTGATATTTTCAAGTACTTCCCTTTCTTTGAAATAACAGGATTTGTGAGTCACTAAAATTCCTGTGGTGTGGTGCAAACAACTAATTTGAAGAATAATTTGAAGTCGAGTTTCCGAGAGATCATGGATTAGTTCTCAGACCGCAGCACTAGAGCCCGGCCATGCTCATGAGGCAAAATCCTCCACTGCCCAAGCAGAGGAACAGCCCTAATTAATAAGTAACAAACGGGATTTTCTCTGCCCTTTTCCACTCCCGCGCTGCTAGCAGCAGTGAAAGATCTCGGTGGGTGCATATGAACAGAGAAGGACCAACAAGAGCCTTGGAAATCATTAGGATTTTGTAACAGAAGTTAAGCACTGGGGTAGCAATGTCCTGTGCAGTTTTATTACAAGCAGCTGGAAGTCAGAGGTGAGGATGCCATTATGCCAAAAGGAAGAAGATGGACTACAAATGACTACATTTAAGCCTCAGAATTAAGCAAAGGGCATCAAGAAAAATGAATTAGCAGCCAGAAGGAAAGGGGAAATTAGAGCTTTCCTCAAACACATCTAGGGAAAAGGAATGCGAGAGGCCTATTAATAAAGCAGCACTGAAGTAAGACTGATAACTCCTGAAATAGAGGGAATCGGTTTAAAACAAAGTGGTGAAATGAGATGATGGTCAAAAAAGACAACGAGCATGTAATGCAGTTATTGATAAAAGGCAAATGAAATACTTTTGAAATGTGAGTCTACTAAAGCACAGTGGGAGCCCAGATAATTTGCCGTATGGATCAGTAAGACAGCTAATGGACTTACTGTACAACCCACAATATGGATCAGTAAGACAGTTAGCTAATGGACTTACTGTACAACCCACAATTCGTATAGTGATAGAGTTGGTAATATACAGAGAAATAACATCTTTGCTTGCTAAGGCGTATTATCTGAGACAGTTAAAAATCAATTGAGGGGATTCCAGAGACTGGCTTTTACTAAGGCTGTCAGTACAGATATTTAAGCTGTTTATTTCACTGTGGTTAGAAAGAGATTAGTTAAAAGTGTTGACAAGTGAATGCTGTTTGTTTATAGTTTACATCCTATATCTTATATACACAGAAACTGTAACTGGCATTTTCCTGGACAAGAACTGAGGAGAAGAGTACCAGATTATATTTGGCCATCCATATGGCCTACCATATATAGGTAGGTATCTAATTGTATTTGACCTAGTGCAAGCCAGGACCTAAAGGCAAAGTGTATACTACTAGAGTGCAAAGAGACTGAGAAAACTGTGCAGCTGAAAGATATTGCCAGTAGATTATACGAGCCCGCAGAGGGTTTGGTCAGTAAAACGTAGTGTGAGATGTGAGAGTCTCAGTGTCCCACTCAGCAGTGCTGAGTCTCTGCTGCCCAAGAGCTGCTCAACAAGCAAAAGGAAATTGAGAGAGCAAACAAAGTGACTAAGGGTTGGAAACAAGGATTGAGGAGGATATTTAAGAGCTGAATACCATTTTAGTAATCAGAATATTGAAAGATTTCCTCACACATTTCTTGGCCAGAAATAGTTTCCATGTGGGGAAAGCCCTATTATTCCTCTTTCACAGTCTGCCTCAACAGAAAACAAAACAAGAGCCTAGAAACAAATCCAGACCTGTCATGCTGCATGTCCTCAAATACATACCAGTCAGCATCTTTTTTTTTTTTTTTTGGTCATCTTTAAAAGGAAATGCGTTAGTGTTTGTGACGAGGGTGACCAACCTGAGCATTTGGAGCAGCTGCCTTTGGGCACCTCACACCTCTGCCAAGGTGGCCACTTGGAGCCGTGGCCACAACGTGTCAGAGAGGGAGCCGCTCTCCACGGCGCATAGAGGGACCTATGAGCTGCCAGGCCCTGAATGTGAATATACACCTTGGTCTTGAAATTCTCGCTGACAATTACCTGGTTTCCTCATTAAGAACAACCAAGTAGAAAAACAAAGGGTAGTTCTCTTTAGGAGCTGGCCCTAGGCGACGTTCTTACTTAATCTGCAGCGCTGGTGCAAGTTGTCGGTTTGCTCTGCACACCAGGGCTGGGCACATTCTTCAAACTGCAGCATGTGATGTGCTCGTTGGCGGGACTTCCCTCCTGCAAAACGACAGAAAGAGAGCTGAAACTGCAGGAAAGAGGAGCAGAA